CTGCTTCCACCATTTTTGTTTTGTTACAGTCAATTTTGCAGTTGCCTTACTATTGCCCACACTTTTCAATAGGATTAAGGTCAGGTGAATTCGCAGGCCAAGCAAGACGGGTAATATTATTATCCTTGAAGTATTTCTTTGTAACCTTCGATACATGGCACGGAGCTGAATCTTGTTGAAAAGTTGCAGCCCCTTCGGCCTGTACTTTGTCAAGATCTATAGCTAAGCGTTGCCCTAGGATGGATTTGTACTTTTCACTTTTCATCATACCTTCAATAGGAATAAGAGTGCCAGTTTCCGAGTATGAAAAACAGCCCCAGAACATTTTTTGGTGGGATGTTTAACTGTTTGGTTAATATGGCTAGCTGAAAGTGACTCAGAAGTTTTTTTTTCTTCGGTCTCACGGCTCATCTCCCTCCTTCTAAGAGACATCTGCGTACCGTTGAGTTGTGAATTTTTATTTCAGCCTTTTCTAAATCTTGATGGAGGTCATAACTTGATTTTCTGGGGTGAAGTTTCTGGGGTGAAGTTTACTATCGCGCAAAGGAAAGGCTTCATCTCGAGAAGTAGTCTTCCGTTTTCTTCCACATTTTCCTTCCCGCTGTACTTCAACTGACCCTGTTTCCTTTTTTTGTTTACTGCACCCAAACTTACACAATACTCCTTTGCAATGCCCTCTGAGTCATTGGTGTATGCTCACTAAGGTTATGATCCTTTCTCTTTTCCTAGGAGTGATCTCCATATTAAAAAGTTAAACCTGATTGCACATTTAAATCAATGAAAATTACACCAACTTGCACATAACCTGAGATACAACAAAATATAATAATTATATAAAACACAAAGCACGTGTTTTGAACAATATACTAATAAGGTTTTGAGGTTATGTTGTTTTTTGACAAAACAGTTGACAGAAAAGGCACAGCAGGTGTGCCAACTTATGAAAACTGAATTTCGATCTCTGTTCACATTAATTCGCACAATACTGTATCTCGCCTCTAGAGGTTAATGTTAATACAAGATTGTTCAGCTTTGCATTTTTTGGTTGTTAATATATTACACAGTTCTAAATACTCTGATGTATGTAAATATGTAAAACAAGGTTAACTACATCTACATAGGTTATGGTTTGAGTTACGATGTACCCACACCCCGTTGTTTTTACGTGGTACTACGGTTTAGAAAGTGACAACTTCATTATACCAATATCACTGACTTTGTCACCTTTTAAACTACTTCAAAGTATCTTAAAGTCTAATTACAACTTGTATGAAATTTCTTTACTTTTCTAATACTTATTTATATAAAATTAAAACATAAATTTCAATATTTCTATCATAAAATGAAATCCTGTTCATTAAAAGTATTATGCGCATTATTTATAGTAGCAGATGTTGCAAGTAGTTCGGTTTTGCGCATTACAAATTATTGCTGAGTCTTCAAACTACCGTTATATTTGATTTTTATATGTACTGTCAGACTTAGCAAGTACATAATATTTCTCATATGCACCACTGAATGATTTTTGAGCTTCGGTGTCATCGGTGACAAAAGTCGGGTGATGCGAGGCAAAAATACGTCATTCATGGAAACAAGAAGATGATCACATGGATACTAGCAGCAGAATAGTCATATGAACAAATAAGAGTACCTTCAACTTCATTGTAAGAAGATCTTTAAGCAAAACATTTAATTTTACCAGTAATATGATAGTCAACATATCAAATCGATTTTGAACAAATACCTTCCTTCAATACAAGTCAAAGTATTTGTTCAATATATATTTGCAGAACTACTATTCATTTTGTTAATACTTATATCCCAGTTAAACCTTTGTTATGTAAAATATGTATCAGGAGGACTGATTTCTAAAAATACTAAACTGTACCTCGTGTCATATTGACAGTTATTTTGACAAGTAAAATAAGTAATGTAGAAAAGTAGATCGTATGTACACCAGAGGAAAATCTAATTAGACAGCTTGAACATCCTTACATTTATAAATTGAAACAAAGTTATTTTATTATTTAATTATAGTACAAAAATGTTCATTAATTTCTGTGTTGAGAGTGTCAGAATAATAGTTAATTATGTATAAAATCTATTCTTTTGTTCTGTGACCAAATAACATAGGCTTTATTATTTAATTACATCTCTACATTTAAAATGTGTGCTTTAGTATATAGGTTTCATTATTACTTCTGTAAAAGCTCTTCAAGGTTTGAAATGGTTTTAATGACTGGCTACAGTCACTTGCTATCTAGAACTGCTTGCAAATTGTCATGACATACCAATATAATTGAATACCTAAATCACGCGAATAGTGCTGAGATCTCTGGAAGTTGCCAAGAGCTTATACCGCCTTAGTACTGATAAAATAATATTGTTAATTAGTTTGAAGGATACACATCAACCTAATTTCAAGTTTTTGTTATTATTAGGTTCATTTGCTATTCTGATTTTAACTTTAGGATGCAGACTTGTCATATTACCTTAATCTTAAGATCTGTTTTCCATCAACAATTTCCTCTGAAGCACAAACATTGCTAGTAGTTTCGGTAAACAGTTCTGAAACATTACTGTTTATACAACGAAGATACAAAACTTTGTTTCAAGTAAATGTTATAAAAGTAAAATATATTTTGTACATTTTGTAAAAATCTAATGCGTTATAAATATGTTTTATTAAAATTTGAGTTTTATATCCGATGATTGTGAACAATTCAGCGTAGTACATGTTTTGTAAAAAGAATCAAACGATCTATGCATTAAAATATTTAATTTAAATAGGAAACATTTATATTTTTATATTCTAACTTAGATTTATTAAAATGTGTATGTATATTGAATCGTATGTATGATAAACAGTGTGAATATTTTTATACTTAAAAGAATGACTGAAAAATACAACTGAAAAAATTGTATCTGCGTTTTATTACTTTCCTTTGCCTAGTGAATATGGTTCATATTTGTAACTTTTTTATTTTGATGTTGCTAGAAAGGTCACTCATTGATATAATGCCAACGGTAGCTGGATGGTTGGTGGAGAGCGAGTCTCCACGTTATTTCAATACGCAATGGAACTGGGTACGCAAATAAGGCTATTTTGTACTGAAAATATTTCTTTATTTTTTGATAATACGACACAATAGGGTAGCTAAAAATGTGGATACACACAAATAAGTTATATTTATGTCAAAATTTAAAAAATATTAACTTCACTTCTTCATTTATAAATAAATTTTCGTCAAATATCGAATGCATTCATCAACTACACAAAACCGTAGGTAGGGTTTATTAAAAATATAAATAAAATACTAAAATTCTACAATAAATATATATTTTTAAAGTCTTACATTCAGACAACAAGATTCTCTTACATTTTAGCTGTCAAACGTTTAATCAATGAATACTATGAAATATAAAGTCTACAGTTTAGAGTCTAGGAAATGTGCACATCATTTTTTCATATTAGTGCAAAAACTTATGAACTTGGTAACGAGGTATTCTATAAATAAATACTGACGTATTCGGAATCTTCTATACCACACTCTTGTTAATTACTGAGACTATTCCACCATTGCAAAGCAGTACAAATTTTCGATGAGATTACAAAAAATCAAAATGTTCAAAAAGCCTTAGATCAAGCCTGACATGTCAGACTATTACAGAAACCGCTGAACATCGGCCTGTCCGTTCCTTTCGTCAAATTAATTCAGACAGAAGAATTAAGGTAAACGCTTGTAATCAACGTCCAATCTCCTCCATTTCTGCAGAAACAGTGCCTTAAGATTCTATTCATGCACTTACACTATACAACTACACCTTATATGTAACAGCGATTTTCCAAACCCAGGTAGACAAATGCAATAACACTACTTTACTCAGACGATACATCTCCCGTAATAACATCACGAGACACAGTTGTTATCGAACGTCATAAAAGTGATTACAGTATAGGCATTCTTTTTCCGCCAGAAGTCGGGTCATGTAAAACTCACAACGAATATAGTTCAGGAAATAAAATTTTCCCACTGTCTCTGAGTATTTGTTATTGAGACTTTCTTGGATAGAACATAATATCCGGTACATACAGACACAGCAACGAACTGCGACATACAAAATCCTTTACAACTTAATAAACAAAACACTTTATTATAACACTCTTTTTCTTAAACTGACTCAAAATAAAACACTCATATTGTAGCTAAACATCAATCAGCCAAGTATCTAATTATTCATATTTGATACATTCTAAACGAAGATCTTTACACATTTTTGCAAGCAAGTCTCGTTTGGTAACTGATCTGAATCATTTTCATTATTGGATCAATCATTTTCATGGAGGATCTGGTTGGATACACAGTCAAAGAGTTGGACGTGTTTACATGATTGGATGGTCTACAGAGTTTACGTTTATACACGAAATCTATGAATGCTGATTATTATTTGGATCACAGATCTCCTAGAGTCAGCGGCCTTATCTTGAGCAGAGCCCTGGTGGTAGTAACCCTATCTTCTTGTGAAACAGGTATAAACAACGTAATAAAGCTCAGTAAGGACCAACAAAGGCTCAGTATGCGAGCATGAGGAAAGTATCTGTTTAACTGACCCAAAAGAATGTGGACAGCAGATTTTAAAGCCAATCCGAAAATCACAAACGCACGAGACTGAACCGGTTATTGATTACTTGTTTGGCATTAATACTGCAGTAATATATGTAACAGTTCTGACCTCAAATTACTTGAGAATATATTAAATAACCATGATACAAGAAATAGCCAAGGTTTTATACTCTTGTAAAGAAACTTATGTACTTGGGAGTGAAAATAATAGAGAAATGACTTGAAGATAATGAAATAAAAACAATAATTTCAAAAGGTAATAAAACAAAATAAAAAGAAGTAACAAAATAATGCAGGCAAGTGCTCTGCATTTAATAAAGTGTAAAAATAGAACATAACTGTGGAATAGAAGATTGTAACTATTAAGTCATAAATGTTTAATAGGTAATTTATTTATTTTTTCTAAAGTGGTGAGTTACTTTTGTCTATGAGTTTTTATTGTGTGTACATATATTCGAGGCATAAATATAAAAAAATACTATGTGCACTACACCATGACTATAACAGCTACACAACAGTAAAATTCATTTTAGTTTAATCTTGTGCAATTTCAGCTTAAATCCAAGCATCTCCGAAAATACTCCTGATAGTGCCGATAAGATAATTAATTTGGTACAATTATAAAGAATGGGATTAGCTGACAATCCTGATATCTTAAACGGATTTTCCAGTTCCTAAAAATAATAAAAATGTTATATACTTTTACTCCTACATTAGTACTAAGTAAGTAATAATTGTAACGTTATAAACGTCACATCTCTATTAATTTATATTTAAATAATTATTTCATTTTAATTTCTTTATTAATTTTAATTTGTTTATCTTCAGTTAATTTTTACTATCTTTTTTATTTAAAAAGTAGTTGGCGCCCTCTCTGTCCCTCTATATTTCTTCCTGTTTCATTTCTTCTCTCATATTCCTCTCTCTCTTCTGTCACGTAGAATAAATATTCTGCCCTCTCTCTTTGTGTTCTGTGTTGACAGACAAGTTAGTTTCTGAAATAGCAACATCCTATGAACTGTGCTAACTTCAAGTAGTTTCCCACTTTCTGTCAAAACAACTTCTAACGTGGTGGGATTATTTTTTGTCTGATTTTGACTTTATAAAAGAAGGCAAAATTTATAATTAGACTCATTTTATGGTAATTCTCTTGGGTTTATTGGAAATATCGGGAATATACCCTTTCATTAGGAATATTTAAAACAATTCAATATATAATACCAAGCAATATCTACATTTTACTAGAATTATTGACCACATAGGACCACGTGTAACTGCAGTTCTTCCAACCAACAACATTCCATTGGAGGACCTAGCAGCTAGGACACACAAGTAGCCATCGAACAAAGCAATAAGTATTGCATTAATTGTTAAGCTTTGGCAGGGTCTATTATTGTGCTTTTTTTTAAATAAATATGTTTGGTTAAAATTTGTTTTATTTGCTATCAACTGAGAACTCAGGTTCAATCCCTATTTTAAGACAAGACGAACTCACCCTTGAGATACTGAGCTAGGCAAGGTATAGACGATAAGCTCCCATGGTTGATTGAAGTATTATTTTCACAATATTCAATTCTCTTTGCTAGTCTTATCGTTACATAATGTTTACATAAGCAAATTTACCTTGAGACCAACTGTTACATATATAGCTTAATTATCTATAATTGTTTTTCTTTTTTGGGCTAGGATTATAAACGCAATTGCCCAAAACATGTAAGGTTATGCAAGTCTTGTTCGAAGCAATGCAAAACCAGGCATGACACAGACAATGCTTGTATATTTAATGATGAAATAATAAAAAAATTGGACTAAGAATAAATTTATCAAAAATTAAACATCTAATAAATGAGTAATAAAATTGAGAATAAAATCACTAACCAATACATTGATAACATGCAGCTAATAAGGCCGAAGATGAGATCGAAAAGTTTTATTTCAGAATTCAATCAAGTTAACAAAAAGTAGAGATATTACTAACATTTTAGGAGACTTTAATGCAAAAAATTGGAGTTAGGTACAATTGAAAAATAGTTGGACAGTTCGGATTAGGAACTAGAAACGAGAGACGAGAAAGGCTCATAGAATTCTGCCAAGAAAAGAATATGGTAAATGCCAATACTTGGTTTTCAGCTTCCTAAGATAGACTTTACCAGATAAGACTGTGGTTAATATAAAAACTCTATAAACATCAGTTTAAAACTTATCCTGGAAGCAAATCGTTAACTCCAGACCACAAATCACGTTAGTTTGCTCACGTGCAAATAATAATTAAAAAGAATTGAAACTCAGGGAAACAAACAACCCCAAAAATTAATGTAAGATTGCTAAAAAACTTAAGAAATACAAAAACGAATTAGAAAATAATGTGAATGTTTAATATGCAAAAAAACACTATCTGGACAACTAAATAATTATTATGTCACAATAGGTCCAGGAGGCAAAAAAAACAGTGGAGACAGAAGAAATACTATTACAGATGGAAGAAAGAGATATAAAGAAATGCAACGAATAATTAACGAAAAAAATCAAAACAGCTAAGGAAATCTATTTGATGAAACAATGTAAAGAGATAGAAGAATTAGAAACAAAATATGATATGAGAAGTATACACAATAAAATTAGAGAAGTGACTGAAATGGGTCGAAATAGACAGCAAGGATACATAAAGGACAAAAAAGGAGACTACTAATATATTTACCAGAGAAATTAAGACGATGGGAGGAGTACGTTAGAGAACTTTTCCAAGATGAAAGAGGTGAAATGCAGAAAATACAAGAATTAAATCCTTTAGAGGGACAGAAGATCACGATAGATGAAATCAAATATGCTAACAAAAACTCTAAAGACAAGGCAGCTGGATTAGATGAAATACCAGTAGAACTATTAAAACTAGTGGAAGAGGATAACTTGGAAATATTGGCAGATACTGCTACCGCGTTATTCAACACGGTGTACGATACGGGAATAATACCCCAAGAGTGGCTGAAGTCAGCATTTATAACCATCCATACAACAAAAAAACAAGTAACAAAAGAGTGCTCTGATTATCGAACACTGAGCCTCATGAGTCATACTTTAAAAATACTGCTGAAAGTACCTAATACATAAGAGAATATAGAGAATATACGGAAGGCTAGAGGAGAATATTAGTGAGACGCAGTTAGGGTTCCGAAATGAAATGGATACTCGAGAAGGACTATTTGCCATAAACATACTGATTCAGCGATGTCGGGATATAAACGTTGATCTACACCTGTGCTTTGTTGACTACGAAAAAGCTTTCGATAAAGTAAGACATGAAAAACTAATAGCGATACCTATGAACAAGTGCATTGACAGTAAAATCATAAATATAGTGCAAACATTATATTGGAACCAAAGTTCCATAGTTCAAATTGATGGGCAACACTCAGAAGAAATGAAGATGTTCAATCACAAATTAACCCCTTAATTTGTAATCTCACATTATTCTTAACTTCTTAATCTTTTATAGTTTCACCGTGTATAAGTTTGCATTATATATATTGCAAAACCATATCGTATGATAATTTAATAATTAGTTCATTTACCTACAACTAAATAAATTGCCGAATAATAATATTTTCTAATTGAACTTCCTAAGTGTCGCAATTAAGGCGTAGATTAAATTGTATTATAAGCAAAAGTTAGGTGGTGTGATATGAACGAAGCAATGACCTAAGGTGCTTATGTATCTATTATGTGTGAGATTATAAATTGGGGGATTTGAGTTCAAATGAACACAGTCAATATTGAGTAGTTACCGAACGAACACCATATTGTGTAATTACGAGTTGCTGTCAATAAATCATCACTTTTACTCCACAACTTCAACATTTATTAACCCTATCATCATCGATCGACGAGAAGCGGACAAAGGGGCATTTACGAACCGAAACCTGTAGATGAGTTAGACAAGGATGTGTTTTATCGCCACTTTTGTTTAACTTATATTCTGAAGAAATTTTCCAAAACACGCTCAATAATATCAAAGCGGGAGTTACCGTTAACATAAAATTAAATAACAACTTACGATATGCAGACTACACTGTGATCATAGCAACGAGTATAGAAGATCTACAACATCTTATCGAAAGCTTAAGTATGAATAGTGCTGAGGTGGGAATTACTATAAACGCTAACAAAACGAAGTACATGCTAATTACAAGAAGACCACAAAATATACATCACCTATTGACAATCAATGATAACGTGATAGAAGAAGTAAAAAATATCAGTACTTGGGAACTTTGATCAATGATCATACTGCAGAAATAAACAGGCGAATAGAGATTGCCAGATCAGCATTTATACGAATGAAACCACTCCTAACGTGCAAAAATATTTGGAGATCAGACTACGTACCATTCGCTGTTATATATTTTCAATATTATTATATGGAGCTGAGACTTGGGCATTAAAAAAATGCAAAAATCCAAGAATCGAGGCTTTCGAACTCTGGTTATACCGCAGAGAATTAAAAATATCATGCATTGATAGAATTACAAATAAAGAAGTACTGAATAGGGTTGGTAAACAAGCAGAACTAATCACCATTATACAAACCAGAAAACTGGAATACGTAAGCCACGTGATGAGGGGACCAAAATATGTAATTTTGAGGCTCATAATACAGGGAAAGATTGAAGGAAGAAGATCTGTTGGCCGAAGGCAGAACACATGGTTGAAGAATCTACGTGATTGGTATCAATGCAGATCGATTTATTTGTTTAGAGCAGCAAGTTCAAAAACAAAAATAGCCATTATAATTGCCAACCTCCGTAGGGAGACTACACTCTAAGAAGAAGAATCAATGCATTACTTAGTTAGTTTTCAAGCCTTGAAAATGCTTATTTTCGCATTTTTCAATTTTTAAATTGCTTAAAACTCGAAGACTGTCAGCTTTACAGAAAAATTATAAGAGACCTTTTTTTGTTTAAAAAATTGTTTATTAAACAATTTTTATCCGACACTTTTCTGCTTTGTTTAAAGTGGACATTTTTGAACAGAAATCCGCGAAGAAACCGAATAAGAAACATCTTTCCTACAAGAGCGGCCTCACAAGATGGACTAATAGTGCATATGCAAACAAGCCATAATTAAATGCCAGATGTTTACATTCATCAATAAAAAGAAGCCATTTAAGAGAATATGAAAAAAGTCATAAAAACGAGTAACCAGATAAAGGCCAAAACTTTGGCCATGAACATCAACTTTTACGATAATATATCTTTGAAATAAACAATTTTAAAATAACTTTTTCTGCATACTATCCCCACTTCTGAAGTTCCCATATTTAATATCAACTTACTTTCAATAAATCTATGGCAAGTTTTAACACGTTGTTTGCTACATTCAACTCATCCTTCTTTTGAGGCTTCTGTTCTATTTGCAGGTGAAGATTGATTTGCTCGGTGATTAAAACTGAAAGATTTCTATACTTTTTGTTTATCTTAGTACCTAATGTCATGAATCTCAGGAGTAGTATACCTAATCCGATACACCATATTAAAGCTTCCAAATAATACTGAGAAAATAAAACTGTGTCCTAAAAAATAAATATTGAAATAAGCTATTTAATTTAATACATTTTTAATCTGAAATGACCGAAAATCCAAATAAAAATATTTTACAGGCGATACAAAAAGCATAGAAGAAAACTGAAGAAAAAAGGTGAACCAGTACTAAAAGACTCCAGAAAACCCGAAAATTTACGAAAGTAGATAAAATATAAACCTTCATAACCTTGATGTTACTTGGTAACACCAAATACTTACCATGTATGAATATTATCATAGTTTTTCCCTAATGACTTACAATAGGGTTACTAACGAGAGTATTTTACTGCCTTTTAAAAGACAAATCACATGCTATCATGTTTCTGACAGGTACTCTCAAATTAGAGTAATTTTTATGCAATATAATGGACTATCTTCCAATAAATTTATCGTCGAATCCTAAAGATATCCTATACCGACCACGTGACTAACCAGGACGTTTAATTAAGAATGCAAAAAAGGAAAAAAAATTGTTACCTGCGATAAAAACAGCCAAAATCGAATACCTCGATCACATAATAAGAAACAGCGAAAGATATGGGTTGTTGCAATTAAATCTACAAGGAAAAGTAGGGTCCAGGAGGGTGAAGGATTTCCTGACTAAAAAATCTATGTATATGGTTCAACACAACAACCACAAATTATTGCAGAGCAGCAGTTCGCAAAATAAAGATTGTCATAAAGGTCGCCAATATCCGAAGCGGACAGGCACTACAAGAAGAAGATAACACACATAATTAACAACATTGAGAAAAGTCAATAAGAACAGTATTATACTAGAGACTATTAAATGTAGAAAAATATATCATTTGTGATATACAGGGTGGTGAATCGACAAACGGGCCATAGGAAACTCAATGGGAAAATTCTAAATTATTGAATTCCTGCTTCCCTAATTATTTTACACCAAAAGTCATGGGAAACTATTTGTAGATGACTCAAATATGTATCGAAAACGAATGTTAAAATTGTTCTACGATTTTAACATATTACAAAATTTTGCAAAAATATAATACATTTTTCAGGCCACCCCTAAAAGTCAGGCCAGACGCTGTAAAAAATGTGTATTACGTGTTGCGTTTTGTCATATTGATGTTTCTGATATTTGACAATATTTAAATCAACTATATTATATTTATCTATTATTTAAATGGCCAACATTTTTATTTTGTGATTTTTTACTGTTTAAAAAAAATTAAGTTGATTAAAAAATGTACTCAGTTGAGGAGAAAAGCAATAATAAAAATGTTTTATTCATGTTTTATTATAACATTTGTTATAGTTTTATGTTTAAAAATAGCATAAACTATTTTTAGGAATAAGGATCACAATAACACTATATTGGAATTCATTGAATTGTTGTATAACTTGGAATTAAATTTTAGTGTATTAGAATATCTTACGTTAAATAAAGATCTGGTAGTGCTCGCAACTTAAGACAAAGAAAAGGTTCGCACTATTGCCTGAATACAACATTATGCGATATTTTCGTCAACTGAGTACATTTCATTATATTTATTGATTTGTAAACAATATAATTTATTGTTCACAAAGTAATCTTTGTTGTTCAGTAGTAGTAGTAATTAGTAAAATTCATTGTTTATAATTTAAATCATAATACGTGTGGCCTATCTTTTAGGGGTGGCCTGAAAAATGTATTATATTTTGCCAAATTTTGAAATACATTTAATTCGTAGAATGGTTTTAACATTTGTTTTTAATTCAGATTTAAGTCCTCTACAAATAGTTTTTTAAGACTTTTGATCTAAAATAATTAGAGAAGCAGCAATTCAACAATTTAAAATTTCTCATTGAGCCGTTTGAAGATTCACCACCCGGTATATAAAAGAAGTTAAATATGAAATACTGGGACTGATTATCAAGAGGAAAATAGAAGATCGAAGAGGTGTAGGCAGAAGAAAAGCTTGACTGGGAAATATTCGATATTGGACCGAATACAAATCGCAGGGCAACTTTTCCATACGAAAGAAGACCTTGAAACGTTTGCCATGGTGGTTACCAATATCGGAAAATTCTATGAATTAATAATAAATGGAACTTCCTGGCAGCCAACATATTTCGGCAGACAGAACATAACTTCCTCATATTGTTAAATTAATGGCGAAGTACATAAACGGTTTACCCCAACGTGCTAGAAATATATGCGAGTGTCGCCAAGTATTCGGTCAGAGTGACCAATGGGCACTCTTGGCGCGCATCGACCCGCCTTCCCTCCTTTTTCCAATTTTTTCATTGGTCTTTTGGCTTGAAATCTTGTAAAATATTAGATTTCCACGCCAAAGGGAGTCTACCTCGGTCTCTCCTAGAGCCCTAAACTCTAGGGAGCCGATCAGTGGCGCTTTGATTCACCTACCTGTGTTAGACTCTGTGGCTTTGTTTTTGTATTCTACAATTGGCGTGTTATTTCATCATTCTTCGATACAAGTACATGTAAGAATCCAAATATCTTCTGATATTTTAAGTAGAATTCAGAAGATATTGTTTCAGTTCAGCATCCCGACCAGAAGGGGGATAAGTGCCTAGGGTATTCCATACACGAATACCCTAGAGCAGAGCGTACGGAGTAGGAGACGGTTTTACCGTCAAGTTACCCCCCTTCCCCCTCCCCGAGACGACACGAGTAGAGAAAGAAGCACAAAAAATACATTTTGAAATGAAAAATGAAATTTATTTTAAATGTTTAACAAATTTATAATAGCAGAGAAACTAAAAGACATGTTAGATTAAGAAATAAAACTATTAGTGAAGAAAGATAAGACTTACCTTCAAAACTTCAACACATAAAAAGGTCAACAATAACAAATTAGCAACAAAAGCGGTAGAAACAATCACATCGACGGATCGTTGCGGCCCTCTCTTTTTCAGATAGGATCTCACCGACAACCACGTCTTGATGTTTATCACTTTATTTAATCGAAAATGCGGTATTTCCGATTTTCTAGCTCGTCTTGATGATGTTAAATGAGAGAAGAGTTTCGCGTACAAAAGTCTCTGCTTGAAAGTTCTTTCTGCCACAGCCAAGAGAAAGAATATCATCAAAGCCAGCACCCAGCGCTGGACCAGAGCTATCGTCATCACAACGTACTCCCTATAACACAATGATATAATTAGATTAAGCATTTTATACATTAAAAGCATTTCTGGATATGTTATATAGAAATTACAAATAATTATCTTTCAAATTTCTAATATCCTACTGACTGTGCCAATTATATAGACATTTTCTGTATTTATTTTTTTTTTATTAAATATAACGACATTGTTTTGTTGACCATGTTTATTATAATGCTCAAAAACTAATTTTTTGGTTATTCTTTAGCCTTGATAACAATACAAATAAATAAGTAATATGCTTTTTTATTTTGTTTTTCAATTTAAATAATGTCTGTCTTTTGCCGTTGATCTTCGTATTTTTGTGGTTCGTATTCTTTGCTTGTGCTTAACCATTTCAATCTTGTTTCATTATTTTCTTTTACTGCTAATTTGCACTCATCGTCAAACTAATTATTTCTTCTTTTATTTTGCATATTGCCAACCACTCTCTCTGCTGCATTGTTGTCTTTATGGTTTGTTGTGTCATGTATTGAATTTGCACCTGCAACCTCTCTGAAGCAATTTTCTTTGCCTATTTGGACGTTGAAATCTCCTATAAGGAGTAATATACCTTCTCCATGGATTTTCTCGGCGTTTTCTTTTAGTCTTTCATATAACTGCTGTTTTGTCAAGTCATCACTGTTTTCTGTGGGTGCATAGACATTTATTATGGACAACTTGTTCGATTTGCTGTTTACTCTTATGTATGTATGTGAAAGAACTAGCCAAAAAATATGTCTCTTCTGGCTGTATATGGTTTTATGACCAGCTGAAGTGTCAAGTAAAAAAAGAAGCTATGTAGCCGAAAGCCGATAACAGTAGAGTTGGTGAGTTTATGTCATAACTTTTAATAACATTTTGTTAATAAATTGCTTTGAAGATTGTGTTTGATATTTTTTTTTATTCTTCGGTGCAAAAAGGGAGCAGTTCAAGTTTTTTTCTATATTGCTAAGCAATCAAATTTCCAATGAACGCATTTTTTAGTATAATCTGTATTAAGTACCAGATTTTAACCCGACATATGATTAAAACAAATAAATTAAAATAATTGAAGAGTGGAGTTGCCTCCTTTTTACACCAGTGTCACCAATTACAATATTAATTCGTTGTTTGTTTTAATGTTACCGATGACCTATTCCACCAGGTTGTGAGATATAGACAATCGAATACTAAAAGTTATGTGACGTAATTTAAAAATCTAACTTACCAAAAATTGCCGGAAAATATGGACACAAACCATCGTCGAGATTGTATAATAACTTCTTCCACCATTGTCCGATGCAACAACAATATGGTCGTAGAATTACTGGGAAGAGCCCGACTAACATTTACGTAAAGATTGTCAATAAAACATTTAAATTCTAAGAAGCTGTAAGAAGAAGTATTTAAAAATTTACAGATAACGGGCAAAAACGCGAGTGTCGACGATACCAATACTCCTATGTAGAAATAGTCTTTACTTTCGGGCATTGAATCCACTCTTCCTATAATGACTGAACTAATTTCTATCATCGACAGGTCTGCCGTTTTCATTTCGTTCTTTTCCCAAATTATGCAACTAACTGTAAGAAATGTTCTATGTAAGTTTTTAAGAAAAATAAAGCACAATAAAGTTCAACATATTTAAAGCACATGCATGAGTTATGTCTGATAAATATGTTTTAATATACAATACTTATTATATGGCACATAAAAAAACAAAAATACAAATAGAAATATTATATAGTTTCTGTTAGGATTTTTTTTTGTAATGTTTTGTTAACTAGTTTTGTACTCATCAGTTGGTACAACTGATTTTTAATATAAAAGAACAAGAAGTTTGACATTACAGATATAACATTTATAATCAATATGTATCTATTATCCATGTGTGAACAATAAATAAAAAAAAATCAAATCTTTATTCATCATCCAATCCAGTACCCTACTGAATACAAAAAAACACAACAGTTACAAAATAACCAACACGAATAGGAGAAATAGAACAGTTCTGCTACCTGAAAAGCTTGATAGATACAATTAAGGGCAGCAGTACAAAAAAGAAAATAGGTTTTGTGCAAACTTCTTGTAAGTGACGAAGAAGAATATGTAACAGAACACAGCTACATCCCTTTGAAACCAACTTGAAATCATATGATAATGTAGATAATGTATCAAAGTTCAATGCGCTCTTCTTTCGAGTCTGTTAAATAACAGACTTCTCTGCATAATGAAATGAATCCGATCAAGGTGTCAATAGAGACTTTACCATTTCCAATATCTAATAACTGCTGCAAAAACAATCGCATGTTACTTGTTAATTGGAGCGTCTTTACCTACCGCCATAAATTGGAGGATGTTAGGCATGCGTTTAGTTCGTCCGCAGTTAATTGGGGAATGATTATTAAATAATGACAGTTTGACAATATAATGATGGCTCTACCAAAAATGTTTTTCATTGTCACGAATATCCTTTAAAGTTCTATCCAGTGTCTGTAGTGACCTCTTGTGGGCCAATGTACATTCGTCCCAAACGATTAATTTCCATACCTGTAAAATTCTTCGCCAGTGAACTCTGCGGTACCACCTGGGGAGCATCGGCTTCCACTCTCCGCTCTACTGCCTTAGTCCTTGTTTTCTCTACCGCTGAATATTGTGCTCCAGTTTGGCTACACAGTCTACATGTAAAAAAGGTCGACACTCAGCTCACAGCACTATGAGGATGAGAACTGGTACAATTAAATCAACTCCCACCCAATGGCTTCCAGTATTAAGTCACATTCCGCCTCCACATTTACGACGAGTTGACGCACTTACACGTGAATACAAAAAGATCTTAAACAATATAAACCTGCCGATCCACCAAGATACCGAGGATGCACGAAATACCCGTCTACGTTCTAGAAAACCACCAATGAAAACGGCAAGAATGATACTTGAGGAGTTCAACATCACGAATGCATGGTCCCAAGAATGGAACGCATGGCAAAATAACATGCCCTGCAATACCCACAAGCCACCAGGTTTTGATCTTCCACGTAAAACATGGTCCACTCTAAATAGGATCCGAACAAGACATGGCATGCATGTGCATACATGCTACATAAATGGGGAAAGAATCCGTGTTCTCAATGTGACTGTGGGGAGAACCAAACGATCGACCATATTATTAAAGAGTGTCCCTCAAGATCCTACAATGGTAGCTCTGAAGACTTCCTGTTTGCAACTTCAGAGTCAATTGATTATATTAATACACTTGATGTTTGTTTCTAACTATTTAAAGTTTGTCATATACCTATATTACTAGTGTTTGTAATTTTGTTCTAAATGTGTTGTAATTGCCATAAATAAATAAATAAATACTCTAATCCGAAAGCATCATGTCCTTAAAAACTGTGGATTGTTACTTTCCCCCCAAGGCTTGTGCAGAAATAGAAAAATCTGTCGCTAGCGTCATCAAGAGAAACGGTGAACAACAAGATGTCGGTAATATTTCACCTGAATTGCCTCGAATATTATCAAATAGGTATAAAAAGGTCGGTTTTCGTTAGGTAGAAGTCAGTATGTATTATATAGACACCAAAAAACAGGAGAATAAAAAAATTGGTAAGATCCGGTGGCGAGTGGCATTAGCCGTCTTGACGTCAATAGATTTTGCGTTTAAAAGCGTAAGGTGTTAAGGAGCTAAGCATGAAATATTATGATGATGATTATAACTGCAATTATTTACCTTTAGCGGAGGGCGGGTTCAATATTGCTGTAGGTGCGATATCATTGTCATACGTAGCATAATCCTTGCCATTATTTATTTGACTATCAGACAAGTTTTCAATATCAGAACTATAACTACAATCACTATTCGTCGTCACACCCATCCAGTCAGTCGCTGAAGACGTGATATCACCAAGAGAAGTCTCATTAATCTTTACGTCAGGTGAGGATTGTATGGGTTCATCGTCTGTCTCGCAATTACTGTCTTGGGAGGTGATACTGATTTTTGGTATTAAGGTCTTGCATTTAGAGACCTAAAAAGTGCAAATAGCGAATTTATTGTAGTGTAAAATAAAGAAAGATATTCCAAATTGAAAATTATACCTGACAAATTATGACGATTTAACCCAAATCACTTGGATAATTATCTAAATTATTTTATCAGATGATGTGAATTATAGCTTAGCAGTATTTTATGATTTTATGTTTACAGGTTTTGACTTCTTTGTTCCGATCAAAAATTTTAAAACAAGTTCGTTTCCGATTTAGTTTAATGGTAAATTAAGGAAGTTGATATATTTAAAAAAGAAATTACATAAGCAGTATAAATTGTTTGGTAGAAGAGATGAATATTTAAGATTTTCTCAGTTAAGAAATGAAATTAAACAAGTCTCCTCTCAATGTTATAGTAACTATTTGAATAATATTGAGAATGGGATTCTATCTAATCCTCGACATTTTTGGAAATATATCAATAATAAACGTAAAAGTTATAATCTGCCATCTAATATGTTCTACGGTGATAGTACAAGTGATAATGCTCAAGACATAGTCAATATATTTGGTAAGTTTTTCTCAACTACATATTCTAATTCTAAAATTAATCAGATCCCAATTTTTAACTATCAGCAGAGTGTAAATGTGAATAATTATAGTATTGAGGTCTCTGACATAATTGATAGTGTTTTAAAGATGCCTTGGAAATTATCGCTTGGACCAGATTGTTTGCCAGCTTATGTTCTCAAGCATTGCATTTTCACTCTTGTAAAACCTATCTGCTACTTATTTAATTCCTCATTGAGTACCGGCATCTTTCCTGATCTTTGGAAGACTAGTTATTTAACACCAATTTTCAAGTCTGGTTATAAAAATGATGTTGAGAATTACCGAGCGGTTTGTAGCCAATCTGTATTATCCAAACTTTTTGAGTGTCTTGTAAATAACTTTTTGACATGGCATTGTAAAGATTTAATTGATGTTAGACAACATGGCTTTTCTAAGGGTAAGTCTACATGCACGAACTTAATATTGTATACGAATTTTATAGCTAATTCAGTGGAACAGAAGGGTCAGGTTGACGCTATCTACACAGACTTCTCAAAAGCCTTCGATACAGTTAACCATGATCTGCTTATTGCTAAATTAAATGGCTATGGATTTGGAGGTAAAATAATTGAGTAGATAGGTAGTTATATATCGGGTAGATGTCAGTATGTTAGATATGGAAATTTTTTATCTCAACGAGTATCTGTAACCTCAGGAGTTCCTCAGGGGTCGCATATTGGGCCTCTCTTATTTAATATATTTGTTAATGATATATCCTCAGTGATTAAAAATAGTAAATTTCTAATGTTTGCTGATGACCTTAAAATATTTCGAATAGTTAACGACCTAGTTGATGCCTCTTTATTACAGAATGACATTAAAAGCTTAGCTAGTTGGTGTGAGGTAAACATGCTATACTTAAATATACAAAAATGTTTTAAAATTACTTTTGGAAGATCAAGAGAGTTTGTAAATTATGATTATTGTATAAATAATGTACCTTTAGAGGCACGTCATATATAAGATTTAGGTATAAATTTTGATTCTAAACTAACTTTTAAATATCACATTAACGAAACTTCAGCTAAAGCTTTAAAAATGTTAGGATTTATTCTTAGAAACTGTAATCAGTTTTCAGTACAAACTTTAAAAATGTTATACTTTAGTTTAGTTCGATCAGTTTTGGAGTATGGTTCTCTCATTTGGTCTCCTTCATATAACAGTGACATCAACAGTATCGAGAGAGTTCAAAATAAATTCTTGAGTGTATGTGCTTACAAAATTGGTTTTATTAGACAGCAATACACATATGATGATATACTGTCAATACTAAATATCTCATCACTACATGATAGAAGATGTCAAGCGGATTTATGTTTCCTTTTTAAAATTATAAATGGATATGTTCAAGATTCAGAGTTACTAAGTTTAATAAGTTTTAATGTTAATACTAGAAGAACTCGTAACACTGAGATTTTCAACATTCCATTCCACAGTACGAATTATGGCCAAAATCAACCCATTACAAGAATTTTACGAACTGCCAATGAGCACAGCAATAGTTTAGAGTTATTTGGAATATCTACAGCAACATTTAAGAAATCATTTGAGAGATTTTGAGCATTATTTAATAACTTAAGCTACTACTTTAATTGAATTTTATTTGATTTTAATTTTGGTTTGTTTTTTATTAACGCAGCCTATGTATAAGCTTTGTAAAGGTTGACGTCATATTTATGTAAAAATGGTATATCCGTTAATTAAATATATAAATAAATAAATAATTTTTCAGCAAATTTAACTAGTTTATAACAAATACTATTACAGTAAAATGGCTTCTAAAAAACATTCTCGGCACCACCAGAGGTATACAGCCTCTTATACATTATAAATAATATACTCTTATTTTGTAACTTTAGTAGTAGAATTCATGCGTAATATTTTCAGGCGTGAACGTGTGCTACGAAGTGTCAGCGTGACTCACGACAATTCGCGACTGGATGCTCCCCTGCCCATTCCATCAATTGCGGCGGTTTACTTTACGGGAGTAATCTCACTAATTGAGCGTGATCGCAGTATTGCGCATATTTGCGGTTTAAAATTCGATAGGTTGCATGTCGTACTTTATTTCCACGTTGTCTGAATGAAATCCAATGAAGATATTGAAAAAGACTTAAGAGGTGAATTTTGAATTAATAGAGTTTGAAGGAGTTCAACATTTTGCTAGGTGTATTCACTATACCAAGATACTGCAATATGTTGTATAAGTATATTTATTACAAATATCTCCACACTTTACTTACCGAAGATGATTTCCTTCTCGCACTAAAAACAGTCTTAGTATCGCTTTCTGAGTCGGTAGTACAATAACCATTAACAGTATCTATTCTATTTTCAGACGTAATCTTTTCGACATCACAGTTGGAAGTTGATTCAAGTTTACTAAAACAATCAAATAACAAATAAAACAAATTATAAAACCAGAAGAAAGCAAACTATGTCCTAACGGTTGTTGCAATTTCTACTCTTCTTAACTAATGATTTCACAAACAAATACTATTGTACTCGATGGTCTTTAACCAGCATATCTATGTTTTATAGACCTGACAAAGGCTTTCGATCGCATCGAAGTCGAAGACATCTTACACCTACTGTATAAAAGAAACATACCAATCAAACATAACATTAAAAAATAATTTAACAATAGAATAAAAAACATCGGAGAACTAGAAGATCCAGAAGAACTATGAAATGAATTTAAAAAAGTAATTTAAGTGAAGAAATTTTAAGTTAATGAAATCTCCACAAACAATGATTATAGAAAAAACTTATTCAAGAAAAATAACTGGATGACAGACGACATCTTGAAATTAATGGAACAACGTCGACTGATAAAATCTAATGTAACAGAATATAGACACCAGCAGAGAAGAATAAAAGAGGAGATCAAATTAGCCAAAGAAAAATGGATGAGAGAAAGGTGCGACGAAATGGAGGATGTAATATCTAAACACGACTTATTTAATGTGCACAAAAAACTGAAAGAAATGAGTAATAGATTTAAAAAACGAGTTCCCTCTGTACTCGTTGACACTAATAACAAAATTATTGTAAATGAACAAGAAATAAGAAAAGAATGGCAGCTGTATATATCAGAGTTGTTTGAAGATGACAGGAATAATATTGTCGAATTCTACCAAAACTGTACTGACGGCCCAGAAATTATGAAATGCGAAGTAGAACATGATATAAATAACGCTATTAGAAAAGCTTGTGGTTCAGATGATAAAAAAAGTTGTAAAATAGCTATTACATGCTACTGACCTCCCGTTTTTAATCCAATATTATACTACAAAAAAGTTAGGGAGGGGGGTAGGTTTGGAAACCCCCTAAAATCTAGAAGAATTGACAAAAACATTTTTCGCTACTTCGGTTTTATTGACCACGGCATGCTAACACATAGTATAAATTTTCATAAAATAAGTTTAAATTGTTTTGGAGCAATATTAAAATATTCCGTTTTATTTAGTAACTTTAACACCCCGTAAGTTATTCTGGGTGTAATTTTGCATATAGGTAAGTTAGGCCAAATCGACTTATTTTCATCCCTAAAAATCGTAATATAATTTATGACCAATCTTTTTGTGATACCCTGTACAAACCGAAAACGTACTTAAAATAATTTGTACTTTTCTGATTGCATGTAGTAAATGAAAAACAAAAAGAAAACTGTCTAGAATAGTATTTTAATATGACTTATATTTTTTTCATATTCAAACATAACAAAAACATAAGTATTGCAGCAGGAAAAAAGATATCGATATTTTATCAATAAGGCACAACTAACAAAATAAACTGTAGTCAATCGCGCATTTAGATAAGTCTCAGGAAGCAGATAATCTCGATAATAGTTTAGTACTTTAATTAAGCCATTATTATACCAGTATAAAAATGTCCAGATTGAAGTGCGTTAGACAAAAAAAGTGCAAATGTGTTGTATGTGATGAATTTAATAAAGGTAAATATATCTTGTATTCGTAAAATATTACAAAATTAAAATGTGACTGTGTTTATGATTTATTGGCACCGATTTTAACCACCAGCTGGCTAGACAATTTAATTTGATTTCTTTCAAAATTAAAAAGATTTGATATATGTGCATATCTTTAAACAATTCAGACTCTTTCAGGTGATATACATATATCTAACGGAGTTTATTGTATAATATTTTTAAAAGAGATTTATCTATTTATAATTCTTGCTACTTCTATACGTACTTTGTCAACATTTTTAATCAGTCTACTACAAGGTATTTTTTTGTTGTAGCAATAAGTAAAAATGAGGATATATTCGGATATGTGTAAAAAACACGAAACGCTATTTTTATAATAACAAAAGATCTAAACAAAGAGAAAACAACACCAGCAAAAGAGTTTATTCCTAAATTCACAACCAGTTAGCCAATCGTATTGTTCGTAAGATTTTCCTAATTAAAATGTCTGATGCAAGTTTTTATTTTGGTAGTGAGATTTTTCATTTTAGGCTTCGACCTACCTTTAATTAAAAATCAGTAATACCTCAGCTTCTTTTATCAATTGTTTTATTATTTTTATTAATAATAATAATAATGTTTATTATTATAATGTTTATTATTATTTTAAGTCAGATTGTTTTAATATTAAAAAAAAACCAAAATAAAAGATAAGAACAGTTGATTTAAAAATATTAAAACTATTGATCGAAGAAAGCTGTAATATTATCGTTTTCCTTATTCATGCCATGTAAATATAATATATATAAATATATACATTAATATTGGTAGTTTGCCTATTACTAAACTTATTGACACAAAATACAGGTCGTGTTTGGTAGGTACTTAAAGTATGAAATTACAGCAGATGCATTCCAATGTTCCCTGTGCCAATACCCTAACCTATCTAAAAACGTTATACATTTTTGTGCGTTATTTTATTTATTTAGATTTATTGCAATTCCGTTATCTGTGATGGCAACAACGAATTGATTCACGAACCATTGTGTCCAGTCTGAACACAGGTTTACATTGGGAAAAAATGTACCAGTTTTATATGACGGGAAGTGCACGAGGCAATGTTGCCGATTTTAGCGCTTTATGTGGTGTGCAATATCTAATCCGAAACTTAATGTTCTATATCTATGATCATTAGAATAGTCGAATGACATAATATAAGTCACATTTATTTCAAATTTAAAATTTACAAATTATAAAACATTTAAATACTTACTTCTTGAAACCAGAATCTAGCAACTCATTCACATTATACAAATCTTTTTCTACTTTATTCGAGAATTTCTCCCTTCTCATCTTTAGCTGCTCCTGATAGTCTTGTTTTCTCTTCTTCTTCATGTGTTGTCTCTTTCTGATGTGCTTCAGCTTTATTCTCGCCTTTTCAACTTCGTTGCTTGGACTAGTAGCGACTATTTGAGAGTGAATTAAACATAATATCCAGAACATCAGTGATGGAATCATTATTTCCATACATGATAATGGCTAGAATCAAAATTTACGTACATAATAAGGATTGATTAAAATGTTTACTTCAAGAGTTATAAATTAAACAAGTTATAGTCTTATATCCAGATGTATTTGTTACAGAGAACAAATTTAAATATATATTTTAAGAATCTCTTCTGCGTCCCTTTATCTAATTTTAGTTCAGCATATTTTTTTTAAGAATCCAAGCCTTGTTGGCATACAGCACTGTGGTTTATTGCTGCTATCATCAACTGGGGTTTTCCAAGTATATAGTCATCGCTTGGGTAGTTTATACCAGATGTTTGCAGTAACCATGTTATCTTTAAAAAATTGATACAATCTCTGTCCTCGATTGTTAGGTTGTCCAAGACCATAAAGACCTACAGTTTGACCTTGTTAACCTTCCCCATTGAAGTTGCCTATAATATATAATATTTCATGTTTATTAAACTTCTGCAATATGTCTAGTATTTGATCACAGAGCTTTTCGACCTCATCATATTTCCTATCTGGAGTTGGGACATATATTTGAGGTATATTGGTTTTGAATGGTTGAAGTATGTATGTATGTTTACTCCATCATATTCTGAACAAAAATCAATTAAACAGTTTATTGATAAATTAAGTTTATATGGGTATATATTATATATAAATTGTTTATTTAAAGAAGTATTTCTATAAGAAGAAGTAAAGTAAAATCATATTGAATTCTTACCTCTGCATTGGTAACTTTAGCTGTTGGATAGAAGCAAAAAATGGTAATATTAATAATATGTAAAATGTAAACTATAAGGCAAATTATAAACACATAATTTGAAGTTTGCTCTATCCACCATTTTCCGTAAAATGGAAAGAAAATAAATCTCAAGGTGGCCAATTTAGTGACCTTGATAAACCCTTGTTTAGGTTTTGTTTTAGTAAAAGATGAACCTAGAACATACAAAAGAATTTAGTTTATTACAAAAAACAACTAGCAGTGTGATTTGGCATTAATATAGACCTCATTAGATGAATTTTGAAAATCATACTCATGCATTTTAAAAATAATAATTGGTTTTCGGTTTAATGGTTATATATAAAATAGAAGACAAACTGGGTGCTGTTTATAGCTTGTCTTTACTGTCATTAACAAAGAGAGAAATTTTAGAAACCTGAATGTGTTTGTGGTCATAAAAGTGTGTTTAAGATGAACATTATGTGTCCTACTACCTAGGATACTGTCTACAAAGTCATATATATGGTCATGGTAGCTCATAAAACCAAATATAAAAAATAAAGTTTGGGTGAGAGTGAGAAGAGAAAGTCCCATTTTTAGACAAGCACAAATGAATCCTCTTTAATAATACTGTGCCAGCACATTTATTGAACCTCCAGCAAGTTTTAGTACAACATAAGGTTACACAATTCTCTACAGTATCTGAACATAGCATTTTGTGACTTTTTTGTATTTCCAAAAGTAAGAATGCCACTTCAAGAGCAACATTTTGACAATTAAACGAAGACTATTCCACAAATGTCAGAAAAAAAGTTTCAGAACTGCTTTAATGGCTTAAACACTGATGGAACTGTGTAGTTGTTAAGTGTCATCAAGAGTCATTGGCTATACATCATATGCAATAGGTAAAGAGCCATTACTACAATCCAGGAAGGGTTCAATAAAATTATTTTAGTGGTAACAATGTTAATTAATGTGTATTTTTAACAATACCTCAAATATTTTTTCTTGTAGTGATCAACCTGGATCTCACAAGTGACATTCACGATCATGTGTCATTGTCATTTTATTCTTTTTACAACAACGACAATGTTATAGGCTGCTTTCTTTCAAATAAAAATATAATTACCTCTAACCAAATCAAGATCTATAAAGTTTGGATTTGGTTTTGCACTTCTCATCTGAATATGGTTGAGCCCATATATTCTCTGCTCCCTTTCTTCTATTTTTGTTTCCCATATCTGCTTATCATATGCACCAATCTTTTGCTGATACCTAAAACATGTTTATGCATGTATCAATTAAACAAATTTTGTTGTAAATATGTTTTGGTAACATTCTTGAATAATCAATTGGATAAATCAGACTAGAATGTACTGGGTTCGTAAGATAAAACAAACTGCATATCACTGCCATCATATATAAGAATAATACCATAAATATATTTCCTTGATGCTCTCCGAAGATAGTTTTCATATTTTTAATGCAGCATACCGTATAGAGTAAGTGACCTTTGGATAGGTAGATCCTAAAACCAAAATATAGCTTGTGGATATGTCATAATTATACTCAATTAAGAGCTTACGTATATGAAGTTTCTATAATCAATAGTGTTTTATACCTTAATTTCACAAATATCCAATAAACTGTTTCAGATAACCTTTAATGAACGAAAAAAAAAACTTATATAGGTATTGTTATTATTTATAAAAAAAGTATGCAAAATTGTAATGTAAAAAAACAATGGAACATTACTAGACACCATAAAGAATAAAAATAAGAATGATAACTTGCAATATACTAATATCAACACATTTTTGCCATAATATAGTAAATTACAAACATAAGTATAATACAGTTCAACTTGCCATTAACGAAAATGTTCTTGTAAAATCAAGTCTCCTGTAAAATTATTCAAATGTAACTACTTTGGCAAAAATGTGTTGATATAAATTTTATTTACTACTCTGGCAAAGAAATCTAAGAGTAGCAATATGAGAAGGGGAAGTCACACAAGATAGAAAGGAATCTTGTCGAAAAGAATTTCGAAAAACTGAGTGAATTACAAAAAATTTGTGTGTTACAAGACAATATTGACTAATCGTAATTAGTAAATGTTATTTGTTAAATAAATAATACCTGCCTCCTGCAAGGTATTTTTAAATTGTTCTAATTTTTAAGTACACCTTTTTGGTTTTCATTGACACCTACTTTAACGTCACTGTTTTGATTAATATTATTTTCATATTACATTACCCTATAAAATAAAGGAATATGTAATTTTTTATTGATTTTAATTTATCAGTAATATTAACAGCTTTTGTATCAATTTTAGTTTTATTTATTATCACTTAATGTTTTAAAAAACAAGAATAACTCTAACAAATACATTGATACAGGAAAATTATCTAGTCTTGTTCCAGATAAGTAGGTATACAAACATTAATTCAATTATTTTTCATTTACACAATTTAGTTTTATTTATTAAATATAATCATAAAAATTGGAATATTTTAGTATATAGCATAGAAGAACTTGAAAGTAATATATGTATATTACTAACCCCTTGGTAGGCAGTTTATTTAGCTTATTATTAAGTAAATTGTACATACCATGTAAATATAAAATCAATACCCATTGAAAGAATCTATCTTTGTTATTTTCTATGAAAATGTTTATTAGAGCTCATGCACTGTTAAAAATAATTATTAAATATCACATATAAGATATAAGAAAGTTTGTATTATTATTATCAGAATTAAATAAACTAGAATCAGCTGATTATAAGAAAACAATAGTGAGGTTAGGGGTTAATGACATAGATTTTGCTGACATTGACAGAGGTTAACCTAGCTCACGGTCGCCTTCTACATGTAAAAATTTAAACTACTAAATATTAGATCTGTTGTTTCTGTCTACAGACTTAGAAAGTCTATCTTCCATTCTTGTTGATAAGTGTAATGCACAAATTTGATGTGTGCCGATGTGTGCCAAAAATCAATAAAGAAAAATGCATGCAATTCTACAGAGCCGTAATAAATAAATTTTATTTTGTAAAAGTATATTTTTTTTCTTCTGTCTAAATAAAATGAGTCCAGCTCAATCATAAAAATATAGAAAGTTCAAAAATGAAAAAATTATAAAAAACTGGTTACACAGGTGGAATATATTCTAATTCAAATTAAATGAAACTCATAGTTAAGAAAAAGCACGTTTAATCAAACAATATGTATATGCCATGTCATCACTGTTAATTC